TTTCCCAGAGCGCTACGTCGACATGATCACCAACTTCTTTCTCCCTGAATTACGACGGCGACGTGTTCCAATCCGACGTGTGTGGTTCCAGCAGGATGGGGCGACCGCCCACACAGCCCGATCATCCATGGACGTTATTCGCCCTCTCTTCCCTGGTCGCCTTATTTCCAGGTTTGGCGATGTTCATTGGCCTCCTCGGTCCCCAGATTTAACCATATCCGATTTTTTCTTATGGGGACACCTCAAGGCTAGAGTACACGCGAACAAGCCCCGAACTCTGGACGAATTGAAGGGCGAAATTCGCGTGGAAGACGCCCAAGTTGAGAGAGCGATGTTGGAGAGAGTCTACGCGAACTTCCAAGAACGCCTCCAGCACTGCATCAACGATTTCGGCCACCACATGCCTGATGTGATTTTCCACACTTGACTGTCTCAAATGCTATTTCCTTGTGAACCTGATTCCATCAATAAATTTGTTTTCGAGTAAAAATTAACTATTTTATGATTTTTTTAAAACCGTCCATCCTCTCTGCCGCACCGTGTATAAGTCAGAACTGATCAATAGCCCGGCCTGTTCAATAAGTAGGTTTCACATGAGAGAACTTGGTCTAAGAAATTTAAGCAAGTGAGTAAAAAATAGTTTAGTTGATTCCTCAAAAATCAGTTTCTTCATGAGACTTTTAGAACAAATTAACGAAAAGCAATGCCAAAGATGGAACATATGCCAAATAAGCGTGACATTCTCCATCTTCAAGACAAAAAGCGCGACTGCTGCCGACAAGTCATTTCCATGGTTGATTAGCTGCAGGGCAGTTGACGAGGTTCGTGCGTTATCTCAAGACGGCATCTCTTCAACGCCGGCCTCATAGACGGCGGAGGCCAATAGAAAAAACAATTGCCGACACGAAACAAAGGAAAAATCAGGTCACGACGCGACACAGCCAACACAGATTTGCATGGATTCCGTGCTGCTAGCCCGGTGGTAGTCATGATAAATTAGACTTTTACGATGTTCTTAAGAAATTAGCGTGAGAGATAAGAGTGTTTTCATGGAACGGAAGCACAAATCAAGAACTTTTCTATTAAAAAGAAAACTAAAGGCTAACCACTTCCTGTATCTCCCCACAAGCTTTGCAGGAATCATTGTTGAGAAGTGATTAGTGAGTATTTCCGTTACCACCGAGAGTACAAGTCCAAACAACTGGGCTCTGAAAAGCATGTGACGTCACGCAGAGTAGGCCTATGCATGTTCTTATGGAGTTTCGCGATGCCTGCCTGGCAAGAGAACCGCGCCACCTTTTCTCTGGGGTGTTGTCATACCTAGGTTTGATATAGCAGTATCGAAATCTCTACTAATTAGTTGTACCTCTCTGTGGGCGAATTTGCAAGATGTACTCGGGGCCTGCGCAGCTTCAGTGATGATGTGATTATTCTTTCTGATCTGCCTCAGTTTGTTAAGAATACATTTTCGATATTACGTTCAATCTGTCACTTGTGAAGTCTAATATTCCATTCAAAATTGGAATATGTGGCAACCTTGCCAACTAACCTCACATTCTGAGCCTCATCTTTCTATGCTATGTAAACTGAACATTATTGATGAATTAGATTTATATTTGTGTCTCGCGATTGTTTAGCTAAGTTTTCAAAATGCCTTACAAGTGCTGCGTTCCTAATTGTGTCGGTAATTACGGGAAGGGTCCGAAGGTAGACGTATTTTCGTTTCCATTGAACGAAAACTGTCGTAAAAGATCGCTCAATGCAATCCTTCGTAGTGATTTAGTGTTTACAAAATACACCCGAGTATGTAATTTGCACTTTGTTGAGGACAGCATCATTTGGAAATCCACCTTCCATGACGAAAAGGCAGGTAGGGCCATTACTGTACCCCTTAAGTATCCAAAATTAAAAGATGTAATTCCAAGTATCTTTGCAAATTGTCCAAAATACCTATGAAAGGACATATCAAGCAGAAGAAGCCGAGATGAGAAACTGAGGGACAAGGAACAAGAACAACTACTTAAAGCACTGCAAACTAGCATCGATGATTATTCCTCCTATCAAAAATCAACTTGTTTTCAAAATTATTCAGACTTTCTCACAGTTTTCAGTTCATGGCAATGTCCATATGGGTGGCATAAAATTGTTCAGGATAAAGTTACTTTGTTTAAGTTAGAATATAAGCCAGCACCCGTCATAACTCACCCTGTAATAAAGATCTCAATGTAAAAACGTATATGTACTCCCAAGAATACTCAACTCAGGTAATATTAAAACTCCATTTTTATTATCTACCACTTGGATGATGTTCTGCATGTTCTTTCTGAGAATGCATCGTCAGTTATATGAATCTGAGAAAAAGTTACGAACTCAAAGCCTGATGTCATTGAAGTCTCGCTATGGTGATATACAAATAGATAAATTCTGTGAAAATGATGATTTAGAAATAGATGAAATTCCACACAATTTTAATGATTACCACTTTTTCCGGGAATTGAAATTTTACAGTCTGATATTGATAGTATAAAGGATGAAATCCCTGGCATCACCTACTTAGCTGGTTACTGTTGTTATGCCTTATTAAAGAAAAATCACTGCGATCATTGTAAGGAAAAATTGACACACACAGATATTGATATAGAAGACAAGCACAATATTATACAGAATTTATCATTTATCCTAAACTTTTTTCTCCTCATCTTTCTTATTCCTTTCCTGGCAAGAGCTTACCTCAGACCTCCTCGTTGGTTCTTACTGGACACAACTGTTCTACAAGCACTACATTTTTTATATAATTTTCAAGTACCATTATATTACATATACCTATAATAATAGTAAATTGTCCACATAATCCTGTGAAATTTTGTTGATCGGTTGTGACTAGCATGGGGTTATTCATTGAAGAATTTATCATTTTTAGCAAGCTTTTATAACATCAACTTATTAATCTAATGTGCATGTAATGTTGGATGAAATATCAGTGAAAATTAGGGTGAAAATAGTTATTAACTACTTTAATATTTTCCACCAAGTTGCCTTCATATACCAAAAACACTTTTCTGAATTATCTGTTATTTACATCAGGTAGAGTATATATTAAATATGCTGCAATAATATATTATTCACTAGCGCTGATGTACGGCACGCCGTGCTGTCGGCCGGCCGACCGGCCTACTCGTGGCGACGTCACGCGTCTGTTTTCAGGCCTTTTCAAAGTGACCAGAGTAAGAAAAAGACAATATTTGGGATTGTATCGTAAGCTTTCTTATCAAGTTATCTGCTTTTAAGTGACTATTTAGACATATTTCAAATATAGTCATATCAGATAAGTGTCTCTTCTTTAATTTTTTGAAACACGTAAGAGTCACAAATATGTCAAGCCTTCACCTACTATTTGCAAGTGGCAGTTGTGCAACGTTTGTGTTCTTCGTAATATTGAATTTTGAAGTAGAACATATCCACTTGTTCACTGTGTGTTTTGTGTCTCAAAAACAAGACCTAGCAAACAGGAAACAACGTTGTATGCGGTTGGTCATGGTCAAGATTGAAAGAGAATGTATTCAGTTCAACAAAATTTATAATGTTGTGGATTATGTCTACTTTGACTAGGCTGTTATAGACACGTTTGCCTGTAGTGACGCAGACTGCAGCTGCAGATGCCAGTGCCAGCCAGTTGGTAATTATCAATTTGGAGCAGGACAAGATGCAGCCTGGCACGTGACAAGTGCATGCATTTTTTCACGTCACTTTTTTATTGCTGTCGAGGCATTTTTCTTCACGAGAAGGCTGGTTAAAATAGTGGTGGGCGTAGGAAAAATATTCACGTTTGACGGACTCGTTATGATTTTTTAATCTTATTTTACATCGTTACGCGCAGGAAATTTTTCATTCCTTTTAATATGATTCAAGATTTTGAGAGAAAAATGCACATGACATGCACGCATCTTGCTTTTACCATTCATATTTGTGTGGTTGTATCGTCTCAATAAACCGATGTCTTATTACAGATCTTATTAACAGTAGTTACAATTAACTTGATTTTGGCTGCGTAGCGACAATGGGTGATATGCATAAAGGTGAGTGGGTTCTCAGAAGTAGCGACTCTATGGGTGATATGCATAAAGGTGAGTGGCTACTTTTGACTCGCATTTTTAAAGTAGCCACTCCATTTGATATGCATAAAAATGTAAGTAGAAGCTCACACTCATAAGTTTCTACTCTTTCCGTGAGGCTGTACTCGCTCCTTGAGTGCCGACTTTAATGTTGATATGCATAAAAGCGAGCGTCCACTCCGACTGCTGAGTACATACTTAAAGAAATGCGAGATACCTTAGTAGTAGACTCAGCTTTATAAGAAGTGGATGTCTTCACGAAATGGGCGAATTTATGCCTACTTATCAGCCTACGAAGGTGTTTAAAGATCGTAGGGAGTCAAGGGAAGTAGACTATCGGGCCTTATATCGGTTTAGTAAAGTTAATGTTTAGTGGATAAGTAACCATTTTCTTGGAGAGACAGAAGAATATAGGGGCGGTACTTTGAGCAATATAGAAAGAATGAGGGTTTTTTACGATATGTGGGTGATCCAGGATTTCAAATTGGCATAGGAGAAGATATTGGTGTCCATCAATCTACGGTATCCCGAACCGTTACCAACGTTATAACACGCATTGTGCAGAAGTCGAATATTTGGATTAGATTCCCAACCTCATGTGAAGATCTACACAATGCTAAAAATAAGTGGCAAGAAAAGTACCAATTTTCCCTCAGCCATTGGTGCTATCGACTGCACCCATATACCTATTCTGAAGCCGTTTATTCATGCAGACGAATATGTGAACAGAAAGAACCTTGCTAGTATAAATGTACAAGCCACGTGCAATTCAATTCAAACGAAGAGTTTACAAGTGTGGATGTTTCTTGGCCATGATCTGTACGCGACTCTCGGATATGGAAGAATTCTGATATACAGGTATAAAACATTATGAAATGGAATAGGGCTAGTGCTGTTTTGTTGGGAGACTCTGGGTATGGTATAGCTCCTTGGCTCATGACTCCTTTTAGGATTGCAGAAACAGCATAACAAAGATCATACAATCGGCTGTTTACGAGAGAGCGAGTTATAATGGAGAGATGTTTCGGGCAACTAAAACAGCGTTTTCCCATTCTACATAACAAAATACGCATCGATACAGAAAAAGTGCCCTCCCTTGTCATGAGCTGTTTGATCTTGCATAATGTGGCTAAGCACCTTAATGATGAAGATTTTGCTGTTGATATACCGGGAGATGGCGAACAAGAAGAAATCCATTATCAAAATGCTGCCGACTATGCAGATGGAGTGATACGTCAGAGAGGTCAATTTAGAAGAGATGCAATATCAAGAATTATTCATGGCTTTCGGGTCTAAGTAAGTATGATCCAAATTTACAAATTATGTAGATATATGTTGAAGAACGATGTTTAATTACTCATAACCAAATTAATAACACTTTCAAAATGGTAACTTAAGATACAGTTCTCAAAATTAATAAAAAATAACATTTATGAAACATGAAGTATTTCTGTCAGTTCTGTTCTGGAAATAAGCTCATGAAAATTGGATTTCCAGTTTCTGCACTTTCATTTAAAGTTGATAAAATTGGATCAGATTCATTAATGTTTTTCTTGTGAAGTAGCAGTTCCTTAGCTAGCCGAAACACTTGTAGTTGTTCAAGTAAAACGAGACGTTGGAGCTCTGTTATTGATAAATCTCGTGTTTCATCGGTTTCCACTAATCCTCGTTTTCCTTTTTTTTAGAAGGCTCCTTACTGGGTCCGGCTTTCATTGTGGCTGTTGGAGTGTAATCAACGCTTTTTTGTGGGCAACCTGCCACAACAGCACCTAAAATTTAAAATATATGCTATTTATATTTATTGACATGTATATATATTATACTCAATCACATATTATACCTACTGAATGGAAACACAAAAAAATACAACTAACATTGCAATCGAGCAATCCCAGGATTTGATTCTTCTTGTAGAAAATTGAACAGTTCTTGTTCCCATCCTTACAGTTTTATTGGTTTGCTCCGGTTTGATTTCTGTCTGTCTTCGCTTTTAATCTGGTTTTTATGTTTTGAATCTTTTCCAAATCTGCCCTTCATTATATTTAACTCCTAATTCGGCTTCTACCTTTTTTCTTTTGTTTCATCAACCGCCTTACGTCGTTTATTTTTGATTTCCGGTATGTTAGATTTTTCCAACAAAACAGGATACTGTCTTCAGAATAGGTTGACATCATGTAAATGAACAAATAATAATCGACCTAAACACCACCGACACAAACGTTTACCGGTATACAGTAGTAATTGCTCGCAATAGAGAAATTGCCAATTCGGCGAGACAACAAAATACAAGTCGGAACTCAAGTATTTCATTAGCACTTGAGTAGCCTCTCCGTTTCTCGACAAATATTTTATGCATATCAAAACCGAGTAGGCTCTCCCTAACAGGAGTAGTTACTCGCTACAAAATGAGTCGCTACTTCTGAGAATCCACTCACCTTTATGCATATCACCCTATATTGTAGCGAGTAACTACTCCTGTTAGGGAGAGCCTACTCGGTTTTGATATGCATAAAATATTTGTCGAGAAAAGGAGGGGCTACTGGTTTTCGAGTTCCGACTTGTATTTTGTTGTCTCGCCGAACTGGCAATTTCTCTATTGCGAGGCAGTTACTACTGTATACCGGTAAACGTCTGAGTCGGTGGTGTTTAGGTCGATTATTATTTGTTCATTTACATGATGTCAACCTATTCTGAAGACCATTCATCTGAAAATCAAACAGTATTTGTTAATATAATTAAACAGTATCCTGTTTTGTTGGAAAAATCTAACATCCCGGAAATCAAAAATAAACGACGTAAGGCGGTTGAAAAAATAAAATAAAAGGTAGAAGCCGAATTAGGAGTTAAATATAATGAAGGGCAGATTTGGAAGAAGATTCAAAACATAAAAACCAGATTAAAAGCGAAGACGGACAGAAATCAAACCGGAAACAAACCAATAAAATTGAAAGGATGGGAACAAGAACTGTCCAATTTTCTACAAGGAGAATCAAATCCTAGTATTGCTCGATTGCAATGTTAGTTGTATTTTATACAGTAGGTATAAGATGTGAATGAGTATAATATATATACATGTCAATAAATATAAATAGCATATATTTTAAATTTTAGGTGCTGTTGTGGCAGGTTGCCCACAAAAAAGCGTTGATTACACTCCAACAGCCTGTGCTGAAGATGAAACAATCACCGAAGAAGCATCTGGAAGTTCAGGACCAGTACTGAAAGCTACCACAATGAAAGCCGGACCCAGTAAGGAGCCTTCTAAAAAAAAGGAAAACGAGGATTAGTGGAAACCGATGAAACACGAGATTTATCAATAACAGAGCTCCAACGCCTCGTTTTACTTGAACAACTACAAGTGTTTCAGCTAGCTAAGGAACTGCTACTTCACAAGAAAAATATTAATGAATCTGATCCAAATGTATCAACTTTAAATGAAAGTGCAGAAACTGGAAATCCAATTTTCATGAGCCTATTTCCAGGATAGAACTGACAGAAATACTTCATGTTTCATAAATGTTATTTTTTATTAATTTTAAGAATTTTCTCTTGAGTTACCATTTTGAAAGTGTTATTAATTTTGTTATGAGTAATTAAACATCGTTCTTCAACGTTTATCTACATAATTTGTAAATTTGGATCATGCTAGATACTTAGACCCGAAAGTCATGAATAATTCTTGATATTGCATCTCTTCTAAATTGACCTCTCTGACGTATCACTCCATCTGCATAGTCGGCAACATGTTGATTATGGATTTCTTCTTGTTCGCCATCTCCCGGTATATCAACAGCAAAATATTCATCATTAAGGTGCTAAGCCACATTATGCAAGATAAAACAACTCAGGACAAGGGAGGGCACTTTTTCTGTATCGACGCGTATTTTGTTATGTAGAATGGGAAAACGCTGCTTTAGTTACCCGACACATCTCTCTATTATAACTCGTAAACAGCCGATTGTATGATCTTTGTTCTGTTTCTGCAGTCCTAAAGGGAGTCATGAGCCAATGAGCTATACCATACCCAGAGTCTCTCAACAAAACAACACTAGCCCTATTCCATTTCATAACGTTGTATATATCAGAATGCTCCGTATTCGAGAGTCGTGTACAGATCCTGGGCAAGAAACATCCACACTTGTGAACTTCTTCGTTTGAATTGCACGTTGCATGTACATTTATACTAGCAAAGTTCTTTCTGTTCACATATTCGTCTGCAGGAATAAACGGCTTCAGAAGAGGTATATGGGTGCAGTCGATAGCACAATAGCTGAAGGAAAATTGGACTTTTCTTGCCACTTATTTTTCGCATTGTGCAGATCTTCACATGAGGTTGGGAATCTAATCCAAATATTCGACTTCTGCACAATGCGTGTTATAACGTTGGTAACGGTTCGGGATACCGTAGATTGATGGACACCAATATCTTCTCCTATGCCAATTTGAAATCCAGGATCACCCGCATATCGTAAAAAAACCCTCATTCTTTCTATATTGCTCAAAGCACCGCCCCTATATTCTTCTGTCTCTCCAAGAAAATGGTTACTTATCCACTCAACATTAACTTTCCTAAACCGATATAAGGCCCGATAGTCTACTTCCCTTGATTCCCTACGATATTTAAACACCTTCGTAGGCTGATAAATAGGCATAAATTCGGCCATTTCGTGAAGACATCCACTTCCTATAAAGCTGAGTCTACTACTAAGGTATCTCGCATTTCTTTAAGTATGTACTCAGCGGTCGGAGTGGACGCTCGCTTTTATGCATATAAAAATTAAAGTCGGCTCTCAAGGAGCGAGTACAGCCTCACGGAAAGAGTAGAAACTTATGAGTGTGAGCTTCTACTTACATTTTTATGCATATCAAATGGAGTGGCTACTTTAAAAATGCGAGTCAAAAGTAGCCACTCGCCTTTATGTATATCACCCTTGTTTCATTAAATACTACATGGGGTACCTAAATTTCATAAAGATCATGATAAAGAAAAAAATCGCGTCAAGTAGGTTGACTCTGCACTTCCTGGGCAACGCCGTCATCAGTTCATAAAGGATCAAGTTCAGCGCAATTTAAATCGTATGAGGAAAAGTCAGTTTGCGCTTTAGTACCGATACATACAAGACGGATTGGTTCGCTAGGCGGTCCGCTTAGATAGGCAGGAGTATGCGGATCGAAAACAAAGTTTTAAAGGCAATTGACGGGGAAATGTAAAATGATCAGGACCCCCTGAATCGTCAAATAACGAAGATTGGGTGATTTTTCGTCCTTTTTCGTCCTTGGCACAGTAGCAACCTGGTATGGAAATGTCATCAAAATCTACTGCTCAAGTTGTAGACGGGCCAAGGATTAGCAGAGAGACAGACAGACGTACCTACTTAAATGAGTGACTTGGATTTTCGTGATGTACATGTCATATAACATCAAAAAACACAATCTCTCATTTTCGAAATTTTTCGCGATTAGCATACTGTCTCGCCCAATGACGTAGGAAGTAAAGTGCACTTTGATGAAGTACCTTCTCAGTTGAAGAATATTACAAGTATCTTGTGTGAAAATAGTTCCTCTCACTAACAAAGTTAGACGACATAAAGATAGTGGCTTCATAAAGAAGTAGTGAGGAGTGCTGGAATTTTATTTAGTCATCAGCCGTTAGCGTTGAACGTGATTTAAGACGGTGGCAGTGGCAAAAGTGCATGGCCTGAACATGGAAAAGTTACTAGAAGTTAGTTCGTTAACCGACCAACAGCGCTCAAGTTACAGAGTCGTTAAAAACTGTGCATACTATTAAGAACGACCAAAAAGGAGATGATAATATCCAAAGCTTTCAGCCTGCAGTATTTCACGAAACTTCATATACGAAGATTCAAATTACATTGAATTATTCATTTCATGAGAGGGAGATATGAAATTCAGATTGAGTTTTGATAATATGCAATCGATAGCGTTAATGTTATGTTAGAAAAGGACTTCATTCTCTACGGAAACCATAACTTAGAAGATAATTATGCGATCAATAGAACTAGTAAAATATGAATTTCTCATAAATTTCTAAATATTGCAGCGAATGCAGAGCCTAAATTCCGAGGAACCGAAAGCACCGGGACTGCCATGCAGTTAGTCATCTTATCTGATTATGAGTTGATTAAAAATAGTAAAACAGAGATAAGATTATTTTGGTTTTAGATGTTATTTAATCATAAAACTGGGAAAATCGTTTTAAAATAGAATGATTGTTCGTGAATGAATCAGATAAATAATTGAGCTAACTGAGGATATTTTTAGGCATAACTAGTGTCTCCTATATCCTATATCACCGTCCAGGACTATAGCACTGCTAATGATAAGATCATCAGCGTAAATGGATTAACTGGTCTATGCCGAACCTGTGCTAGTTGCAACCCAATTCATTAGCGGCTAACCAATTTACAACAATGATATCAGTACGCTGCTCTAACGTTTCAGCTGGTGAATATTCATAGGGATGAAGGTGGGAGCAATAAAACAGTTCGTGTATAAACACAATTTGTATGTATTTAAATGTGGTATATAATAAATGTTAAATTTATGAAATGAATCAATTAGATACATAATTCAAGGAAATAAATGCAGAAAATGTTCCAACATTAATCAACATCGAGTATAGGCCATTAGAAAATGGAGTATACGAGGAGGTACCCAAAAATAAACGGAATAGCATTGGAGTGGGCGCAGCCTGTGTAGTACACATTTCTGCCCCTAGAGGCGTACAGCGCAACTCATTACCAGTTCAGTGCCACCCACGATACGCATACACTGAAGATAGGATATTGCGCATGTGGGCGGAGCTTCGTGACGTCACCCGG